GCCCTGAGTCCCTCCTGGAGAAGGGCGGCATACAAATAAACCCAATAAATAAATAAATAAATAAAATCATGTTCTCAACCCTGTGGAAAGATTTTCTCCCTTTCTTCCTCTTGTTCTCATACTAGAACTTGAGATTGTGCAGTGAGTTTGGCAGGAGTCTTAGAATTGATGAAATGAATTATAGACAAGAAAATGAAATGATGCCCATGGGCCTAAAATTATTTGATTTACAAATAGCTTATTGAAACAGCTGTCTGTCTATCTGTTTGTCGGTCAGCTGGTCGGTCAGCCGGTTGGTCTGTCTGTCTGTCTGTCCATCCATCAACCCATACATGTAAATTCTTGATGTCCCATAGTTTTCTTCATATTAGAAGGAAGTTTATGAGAAGGTATGTCAGGATGCTGGCATCTTGTGGTTCTAGTCTGCAATGGATTCTCTGGTAAAATCTGTGGCACTGTAAATTTCGCAGTTTCACAATCATTCTTGCAGTTTGTGGGCAATGCAACTGAAGGATTCCCAATGTCTTTTTTTTTTGTGCATTGTAACTTTAAGAATTTGCCAGTGGTTTTGAAGTGCATGTTTGATAAAATACTATTGGGAACAATGAACTAATCAAATTAAACAAAAGAAAACAAAATTTCAGAACTTCATGTATTGGTATTAGGAAGAAAAGATTCTGAATCTATTCAGACTTAATTCCAGAAATATATTATAGAAATGATCTATTATCTGAAAGATGATCTGAGCTATAATTAGTAATATATTTGGGCCAGAAAAAAGCCATGAGGGAAAATTCCCTTGTCAGAGGTGTTCACCTCCCTCACATCAAGCAGCACTTCTTTGTATGCAAACTTCAAAGGATTGACTCACACCCTTTGTGTAACTCTGTACAATCAAAACAGACATTATTTTGATCCAGCAAGACTTCTTGTCAGATATCCAATCCAATTTCTGAGAAATAAGACAGCTTGGGTTAAAAAGCCCTCTATACTTGAATCTTAGTTTAGCCTAAAATTAGATCCATCCTCTAGTTTCACATTCTTCCATATTCATTTCCATTCATTCAAAAATCTTCCATTAAGATCCTCCCTTCTGATTATGTCAAAAACTATATAGTAATTAGACATATAGGTACCCCATTAGAAAAGGCTGTAACTTCTGGTTTCTTCTTTCTTTAAAGAAGCATTTGACAAGGAAGACCAACAAAAATGTACTAATGTAGGGGGCTTCTCTTTCCACTTTGATTTTATGTTCAGTTGTAGCTTCTCCTGATTTCTTCCATGTCCCTGTAACAAACGTATTAAGAGTGTTGGGTAACTAATCAACATGCTCAAATTTCATTGAACTGTTTTTCTCTGTATGACTTACATATTGCATTAGGACATATGATGTTTGATATAGATTGTTGTACAAATGTTATGGTTCGTGAGTCATTATTTTTTAGCTACAAAATTGGGAGGGAGAAGAGCAGTGGCCACAGTGAGTGTAATGTTGTTGTTAGTTGCGAAGTCATGTCCGACACATTGCAACCTCATGGACAATGCTCCTCCAGGCCTTCCTAACATCCTCTGGACTCCATTTAAGTTCATGCCTACTGCTTCAGTGACTCCATCCAGTCACCTCATTCTCTGCCGTCCCCTTCTTCTTTTGCCCTCAATCTTTCCCAGCATTAGGCTCTTCTCCAGTGAGTCCTTTCTTCTCATTAGGTGGCCAAAGTATTTGAGTCTCATCTTCAGGATCTAATTTTCTAAAGAGCAGTCAAGACTGATCTCCTCTAGGACTGTCCGGTATTATCGCCTTGCAGTCCAAGGGACTTGCAGGAGTCTTCTCCACTACCAGAGTTCAAAGGCCTCCGTTCTTTTAATGCTCAGCCTTTCTTATGGAGAAACACTTCATAAGAAGTGGAGAAGACTACTGCGAGCCCCTTGGACTGCAAGGCGATAATACCGGACAGTCCTAGAGGAGATCAATCCTGACTGCTCTTTAGAAGGCCAGATCCTGAAGATTGAACTCAAGTACTTTGGCCACCTAATAAGAAGGAAGGACTGACTGGAGAAGAGCCTAATGCTGGGAAAGATTGAGGGCAAAAGAAGAAGGGGACGGCAGAGAAGGAGGTGACTGGATGGAGTCACTGAAGCAGTAGGCATGAACTTAAATGGACTCCAGAGGATAGTAGAGGAGGAAGGCTTGGAGGAATGTCATTCATGGGGTCGCGACGGATCGGACACGACTTCGCAACTAACAACAACAANTAGTTTGTTATATTTCATCAGTTGTATTTATTTATTCAGTTTTGTTGTATTTATTTGGCACAATAAAGACTATACTATTACAATATATTTTATTAATTTTCATCAGTTATTTGAAAAAAAAACCATTTATGTGGACTGAAAGCACGATAAACTAAATATCTAGGTATTTACTTTGGATTCTACTCTTGCTGACCAACAAACCATTTTTTCACAGAGCTTCATTTGCCTTAGGTAAAATTTATCCCTGTAAAAATGCTGCCGGTTAGGCTAGGTTAAGAGAATAAAGCTGAATTCACACAACTAAGTCCATGAAATATTTAGAAATTGGTCTTGTTACATTTGTCCATTGTTATTCTCGGATTATTTTATCGTGGACTTGTTTAGGAGTTTAATGCTTAACGTAATAGATTAGAAAATGGGTTTCTTGTGTGAATGCAGCTTAGAAGTCCCGAAATATACCGATTGAGTTTGATAGGTCAACTAGTTCTTGAATGCTGATTTCACTGCATAATAATTGATCCTTCCCTGAACTGATGCCTTCCAGGTGTCTTGGTACTATCAAATTCACAGGTTGAGCTTCTCATTATACCACAGTGACCTTTGATAATCCAGGTAAATAATGCAAAAGAATGCCTGTTGGTGGAAAAGGTTTCACAAACACTTTGGTGTCAGAAGTGGAAGTGACATTGACACAAAGGGTCATAATTGGTTAAAGGGGTGGAAGCAGCAGCTCAGCTTGGTTTCTTTCAGAGTGTTGCTTCTATATTCTGGTTCCTCCGTGCTTGCTTTTTAGTCAGTGACTGCAGCCTCCATCCAAAAATGCATGTGAGTAGGTCCCTCTGGAGAAAAGAACCACACATTTTCAAGGTAGACACTCCCATTTTCAGCAGCCTTCCTCCTACTGAGAGAACTCCAATGACGAGATAGACATGTGAATCAGCTCATGATTAATGCAGAAGCAAAACAACAAATATGGTAGATGAGTTACTTTGTTAGAGGGAGCTGAATCTCATGAAGGGACTGGACAGTTTTCAAGTTAGATTGCATTTCCTCTTTCTCCTCCCCTTCCAATCCATGTCGTGCTTACCTGGCTTGTTTGCTTTCATTTAGCTTCTCTCAACTGTCTATTTTTTTTTTGCCATCATCAGAGCCCATTGCCTCGTTCTTCTCAGATATGAGGAAGCTGCTGAGATAGTCCCTTCAGCTCAACAAACACTGACTGAATGCATAGCAAGCACAATTTGCTGCTCATCATGGATTATGACAACAACACACAGACTGAAGATTCCTACCTGTTCCCTGTACCTCTCCTCACAGGTGTCACTGTCATTTGTTTGCTGTTCTTCACGACTGGGATTCTTGGAAACATGATGACAATGCTGGTGGTCTTTAAGTTCCAGGATATGAGGACAACCACCAACTTGTACCTCTCCAGCATGGCTTTCTCGGATCTCTTGATCTTCCTTTGCATGCCCCTAGACCTCTTCCGCCTCTGGCAGTATCGGCCCTGGAATTTGGGGGATCTTCTCTGCAAGCTCTTCCAATTTGTCAGTGAGTGTTGCACATACTCAACCATACTCAACATCACAGCCCTGAGTGCCGAGAGATATTTTGCGGTCTGCTTTCCACTCAGGGCCAAGGCGATGATCACCAAGACCAAAGTCAAACTCCTTATCCTCGTGCTCTGGGTAATATCTTTTGTCAGTGCCGGGCCTATCTTTGTTCTGGTTGGAGTTGCGCATGAAAATGGGACAAATCCCTTGGATACCAATGAATGTCGAATCACAGAGTACGCCATTCATTCAGGTTTGCTGAACATTATGGTGTGGACCTCGAGTGTCTTCTTTTTTCTGCCTGTTTTTTGCTTGACCGTTCTCTACAGCCTCATTGTGAGAAAGCTTTGGCAGCGAAAGAAGAAAAATATTGGGCCAAAGACCTCCATCAGGGACAAGTACAACAGACAAACAATAAAAATGCTAGGTAAGGTACCAGATCTATTTTCTTTTGAACAAGACAAGCCTGCTTATGCTGTCAATCCAAGATGTGAGATCTATAATATTGCCTATTGAATCAATTAAAAGTCATGTTGGAACATGCAACATTTTAAGTAACACGGAACATGTCCTTCAGATTAGATTTAAGAAGAGATTGGATAGCCATTTAGAAGAGAATAACAGAGTTAGCAGGGACCTTGGAGGTCTTCTAGTCCAAACTCCTGCTCAGGCAGGAAAGCCTATACCATTTCAGACAAATGGTTGTCCAATCTCTTCTTAAATACTTCCAATGTTGGAAAAGAGCCGAGGTGGCGCAGTGGTTAGGGTGCAGTACTGCAGGCCACTTCAGCTGACTGTTATCTGCAGTTCAGTGGTTCTAATCTCACCGGCTNTTTGCCTGGCTATTCCGTTTTGTGCCCCTCCTCCCTGATTTATTTATTTTTTTAAAAACCAGATTGAAAAAAGCGATCCAGGGTCGCCGTAGGAGCGAGCTTCTTTCGGCGAGTTGAGGCACCAAAGCCCAATCGTATCAGCCTCCCGTCTTCTTTGCAGCCCGTAGGTGGGAGAGCGGAGAGGCGGGTTCCTAAGCCCAGGAGGGAGGGAGAGAGGGAGAGAGGGATGGAGGGAGGGAGGGAGGAGAGTCCTGGAGGGCTGCTGAGTCTCTTTGCAAGAGGAGGCAGAGGAGAGGGCTGCCTCTCTTTCTCTGCTGGCCTGCACTTGAGCAACAGCTCTTGCCAGCTGGCAGCACGGAAAGAGGGTGCCGCCCATCCCACCATTAGAGCCTCTGTTTCTCTCCCACCCACCCAGCCACCCGTCTCAGCCCACCACATGTCAAGCCTGCAGCGCCCCCCGGCTGCTTCAGCCCAAGCTCCACCGGTTTCATTAAGCGCAGAGCAGGCCAAAGGTGAGACAGAGTAGGTTTTGAGGGAAGGCAAGCATGCAAAGGGGACTGCAGGGAGACCTAGTGATGCAACAGCAGAGGCCTTCCTGTATGGCAAGAGAGCTTTATTCTCCTCCAAAACCACGTCTTCCCTCCCTCCACCCCACCTCCTCCAAAACCTCTGGCCAAAATTTTTCTGCCACTGCCCTTCCTGCCGCTGTTCTCAGGCTGCTCCCTGACCCCAGTCCGTGGCAAGAGAGAAGAGCGCCCTGCCAATCATAAATACGGCAGGAAAGTTGAGGACCAGGATGGGAAATACATAGGGGGGGAAGGAATCCATTGTACCCGCAAGGGAGATTTGCGTGACAGTAAATGGAATGATTTCATTGGAAGTCGGGAAGAAATGGGACATTTCAATATTTAAAATTGAATTTAGAAATCAGGGGTTCTAGTTTTGGGTACCACAAGTTCCCCCTGTGGCTTGTGCAGACAAAGAGAAGATCAGAGTCTTGAGCTCTTCCTCTGCCTATAACCAGGTTTTTAAAAATGGGGTCCCACTTCCTTGAGTTCTGCCTACAGTTTGGAAAATAGCTGATTGCCACTTCCTTTGAAAAGACTTTTTTTTTCTGGTATCATTTCATCAAGCCCATCCATCACATTAAGAATTTACTGAACAGTGAAGTAGTTACTAAATTTTACTGCGTTTACTAAGTTACTTGTTATGCAGATTCTTGATAAATGACTATCAGACTTTGAAAACCTGGTATCACTGGATCATGTTCAACAATTTTGTGGAATAAACATTAACTAAAAAGGTTTTTAAATTGGATTTTTAATTAATGTGCAATTAATTGTTACAGTTTTGAATTTTACTG